TAAAGTACCCAATAATATGGAAATGTGGATGTTTTACATGTCTAAAGCATATAAAGTGAATAAACTAGTCTTCATCAGCTCACCTTTTTACGTAAACATAGAGAAACCATAAATACTTTAGTTTCGCCCCTTCATTCATGTGTTCGGTTCACGTATGCGCATATCAGCAGCTCATTGGTCTTCGGTCTGAGTAGGAACTGTTTCCTCAGTTCAGTGACTGTTGGAGGAACTGGAGAGCTGAATGAGTTCATTCATCATAGAATCATATATGCTGGTATTTTTGGCTCAATTAGGGTCGGAGCGACTGTCAGGCACATCTGAAAGTGAGTTTTGATTGATTAAAAAACAAAACAAAACAAAACAAAATAACTAGTTCAAAAGAATGATTCATTTGTGAACTGAACATCACTCCAGACAGAGGCTCTGGATTACAGGTAATAATCTTTCTTGCACAAACGAATTGTTTGGCTTCATAATATATCACCAGGAGCCACGAGAATTCATTTTGTCTTGCATGTATATGCTTTTTTAATTTTCAAAGTGCCACTGACTTAAAAGCTCTCGACTTCTGGAGAGCTGCAACCATGAAAGCTTGTGGAGGCTTGCTGCCAATGAGGTTTGTTGTTGTTGCAACAGCAGTTTTTGTGCTCCTAATGGTTCTTGGATTGACAGTCATTGTAAGAGAAGCCACACTGCAGGACTCTAGTCACTAGCAGAATCTCATTGGAGGTAAAATTTGATCGCAGTGGTCATTAATCGACTGTCTGTGAACATGTCAAATTAGTGACCAAAGACTACAGATTTTGGCCTAGGATCAGAGAACACTTTTAGGATTAGCAAAAATTTGCCTCACATGGCCAAATCGCGGCCAAAATCATACAGTGTGCACCTCGCTTTAGGTATCTTGATTCTGCATGTTTTACTGACTGAGAAACAACTTCAGATGACTGAATGAGATGAGCATCTGAACAAATGTGAATCTGTTTTGTAATTGCATTTTCACTGAATTTCCAATTCACTGAAAAAAAAAAAACACTCAGGAGAATGATTAATTTGTGAATGAGTGGCATGGCTGGTTTAGTCAAATACTGGACACGCATGATAACTACTGAAATATTTGTATGAAGAATGTATATATTTGTATAAATATATATATATATATATATATATATATATAACAGTATTTT